TGCCTGGTCCAGGAGCTTGCCTAGTCAAGGAGCTTGCGTGGTCCAGGAGCTTGCCTGGTCCACGAACCTGCCTGGTCCAAGAGCTTGCCTGGTCGAGGAGCATACATGGTCCCCGAGCGTGCCTCGTCTAGGAGCTTGCCTGGTCCTGGAGCTTGCCTGGTCCAAGAGCTTGCCTGGTCCGGGAGCTTGCCTGGTCCAGGAGCTTGCTTGGTCCACGAGCCTGCCTGGTCTAAGAGCTTGCCTGGTCCAGGAGCTTGCCTGGTCCGGGAGCTTGCCTGGTCCAGGAGCTTGCTTGGTCCACGAGCCTCCCTGGTCCAAGAGCTTGCTAGGTCCAGGAGCGTGCATGGTCCACGAGCGTGCCTGGTCCAAGAGCTTGCCTGGTCCAGGAGCATGCCTGGTCCAAGAGCTTGGGTAATCCAGGAGCTTGCCTGGTCCAAAAGCTTGCCTCGTCCAAGAGCTTGCCTGGTCCAAGATCTTGCGTGGTCCAGGATCTTGCCTGGTCCAAGAGCTTGCCTGGTCCAAGAGCTTGTGTGGTCCAAGAGCTTGCCTGGTCCAAGAGCTATCCTAGTCCAGGAGCTTGCCTGGTCCAGGAGCTTGCCTGGTCCAGGAGCTTGCCTGGTCCAGGAGCTTGCGTGTTCCACGATCGTGCCTGGTCCAGGAGCTTGCCTTGTTCAGGAGCTTTCTTGGTCCATTAGCTTGCCTGGTCCAAGAGCTTGCTTGGTCCAGGAGCTTGCCTCGTCCAGGAGCTTGCCTTGTTTAGGAGCGTGCCTGATCCACGAGTTTGCGTGGTCCAAGAGCGTGCCTGGTCCAGGAGCGTGCCTGGTCCACAAGCTTGCCTGGTCCAGGAGCTTGCCTGGTCCAGGAGCTTGCCTGGTCCAGGAGCTTGCCTGGTCCACGAGCCTGCCTGGTCCAAGAGCTTGCCTGGTCCTAGCGTGTGCAAAAAATCAAGAACAAGGGCCTAGCATTCGCGAAATAGCAAGAACAAGGGCCTAGCGTGTGTAAAATTGCAAGAACAAGGGCCTAGCGTGTGCAAAATAAAAAGAACAAGGGCCTAGCGTGTGCAAAATAAAAAGAACAAGGGCATAGCGTGTGCAAAATAGGAAGAACAAGGGCCTAGAGTGTGCAGAATTGCAAGAACAAGGGCCTAGCGAGTGCAAAATTGCAAGAGCAAAGGCCTAGCGTGTGCAAAAAATCAAGAACAAGGGCCTAGTGTTCGCGAAATAGCAAGAACAAGGGCCTAGCGTGTGCAAAGTTGCGAGAACAAGGGTCTAGCGTGTGCAAAATTGCAAAAACAAGGGCCTAGCGTGTGCAAAATAAAAAGAACAAGGGCTTAGCGTGTGCAAAATAGCAAGAACAAGGGCCAAGCGTGTGCAAAATAAAAAGAACAATAGCCTAGCGTGTGCAAAATAAAAAGAACAAGGGCAAAGCGTGTGCAAAATAGCAAGAACAAAGGCATAGCGTGTGCAAAATAAAAAGAACAAGGGCCTAGCGTGTGCAAAATAAAAAGAACAAGGGCCTAGTGTGTGCAAAATAGCAAGAACAAGGGCCTAGAGTGTGCAGAATTGCAAGAACAAGGGCCTAGCGAGTGCAAAATTGCAAGAGCAAGGGCCTAGCGTGTGCAAAAAATCAAGAACAAGGTCCTAGCGTTCGCAAAATTGCAAGAACAAGGGCCTAGCGTGTGCAAAATTGCAAGAACAAGGGTCTAGCGAGAACAAAATTGCAAGAACAAGGGCCTAGCGTGTGCAAAATTTAAACAACAAGGGCATAGCGCGTGCAACATAGCAAGAACAAGGGCCTAGCGTGTGCAAAATAAAAAGAACAAGGGCCTAGCGTGTGCAAAATAGCAAGAACAAGGGCCTAGTGTGTGCAAAATAGCAAGAACAAAGGCCTAGCGTGTGCAAAATAAAAAGAACAAGGGCCTAGCGCGTGCAAAATTGCAAGAACAAGGGCCTAGCGTGTGTAAAATAGCAAGAACAAGGGCCTAGAGTGTGCAGAATTGCAAGAACAAGGGCCTAGCGAGTGCAAAATTGCAAGAGCAATGGCCTAGCGTGTGCAAAATTGCAAGAACAAAAGTCTAGCGTGTGCAAAATTGCAAGAACAAGGGCCTAGCGTGTGCAAAATAAGAACAACAAGAGCATAGCGTGTGCAAAATAGCAAGAACAAGGGCCTAGCGTGTGCAAAATAAAAGGAACAAAGGCCTAGCGTGTGCAAAATAGAAAGAACAAGGGCCTAGCGTGTGCAAAATTGCAAGAACAAGGGCCTAGCGTGTGCAAAATTGCAAGAACAAGGGCCTAGCTAGTGCAAAATAGCAAGAGCAAGGGCCTAGCGTGTGCAAAAAATCAAGAACAAGGGCCTAGCGTTCGCGAAATAGCAAGAACAAGGGCCTAGCCTGTGCAAAATTGCAAGAACAAGGGCCTAGTATGTGCAAAATGGCAAGAACAAGGGCCTAGCGTGTGCAAAATCGCAAGAACAGGGGTCTAGCGAGAACAAAATTGCAAGAACAAGGGCCTAGCGTGTGCAAAATAAAAACAACAAGGGCATAGCGTGTGCAAAATAGACAGCAACTTCCCAAGCTTTGCACGGCAGCTGGTTGGGCCGAACGTAACTTTGGCCTTGCTTCTCTGCAGCCGGCGGACAGAGAGGAGGTTAGCAGACAAACCTTGAAACAACAGTACATTCCCCAGCCCCACAAGCCCCCCATTGGCTCCCATGACCTTGGCATTCCCAACACCAATCACAGAGAGCAAAGCACCTGAAGCGGCAGCCACAAACTTTATCTTCCCGGGGGGTTTCACCTCATCAAGCAAATCTGCCCATGGAGTCATGTGACTCGTGCAACCTGAATCGATCACCTAGTGAGTGAGGGGGTGCATCACAACCTTCCCAACTGAACCCACATCACCCTCACTCCCTTTCACTTCCTCAACCATGAGGAACATCCCAGGGTTGGCTTTACCTTGTGCACCATCACCTTGTGCACCTGAACCTTGCACAGCGCCACCTCGTGCGCGTTCACCACTTGGCGGCTTCATGCCTGGAGGCGCCCATCCTTCAGGCCGGCTGAAACACTTGAACCATGGGTGTCCAGCCTTCTTGCAGTACCAGCACGCACCCTCCATTTGGGTGCTCCCCCTGCCACCAGAGCTCCCATGCCCCTCGTTGTTGTCACCTCGACCTCTTCCTCTGCCAAAGCCTCTCCCACGGACTCGGCCTCTCCCACCCCCTCTTCCTCTGCCTGCTGCAGCTCCACACCCCTCAGCAGTTTTGTTGGCAGCACCACCTCCCGTGTGACGCCTGCGGAAGTCCTCCTGCAAGATCTGCTGCCGTAGCCACTCAGGTGTCCACTTGTCCTGCTGAACGTTGAGGGTGGGGATAAGGTTGTCCCACAAGTTGTCGAGCACCGAGATGATCTTGGTGCACTGCTGCATCTCCGACACCTTGCTGCCCGCCGCTGCCATCCTCCCATAGGTGTCCTTGATCTTGTTAAGCACCGGTTTCACATCGTCTCCCGGCGGCATGGAGAGGGCAGCCAGCTCCTTCTCCAACACGATCACCATCGGCAGCATGTTGGGCTGAACCACGTCGCGCAGTAGCTTCCACGCCTTTGGTCCGGAGTCATCGAGCTCCACCAAATCCTTGATGTGCTGAAACATGTCGTTGTTCACCGATTGAAGGATGAGGTCGTACAGTACCGCGCTTCGCTCAATCCACAGATCGCGGGCATCTCCTTCCTCGGGCATCTTCTCCTCTCCCATAGCCAATTTCAGCAGCTTGTAGCGCTTGAAGGCGCTCCTCATCCACCCACTCCATTCTTCATAGTTGGAGCCATCCAATGCCTCAATCTTGGATGGTGGCGGCTCACTCTTCTTCTCAGCTGCTTCTCCACTCCCTTGACTCATCTCCTCAGCTCCTTATCACAGGTTTCAGCTCCCCCTTTTGCTGGTCACAATGTAGATCCATATTATTTTCACAAGTGACGGCGCCAACGAAATTTCGGCAGAGTTTCCCCTTAGCGGAAGTCACATGCAACCTCCACAACTCCACTTAGGCACGCCCACAGGCCATGGTGGGTCTGGGAGGGTTTTCACACTTCAGTAGACTCTCCACAAAGTCCTTAATCAGCTCTGGTACCACTTGTTACAGACTAAGGACGGAGTCTATGAAGATTATGTGTCTAACTTTCTCAAAATCGTTGGTCTCAATTTCTGGACAGAATCGTCGAGTTCACAAGAAACGCCGTCGACACAAAACGCACCGTCAAAACTTCACGAAACTCCAATATGTAGTAGCCCTAGACCGTAGCTACATTTTCCAATTTGAATCGTATCTAAAGGTGAAGTATTTCTCGACTTATGAATTTCGGCGCACAGGGGGGTATGCTGCCATAGAGAATTTACTCAATCACAAGAGTTTTCACAATTCTCACAAGTTCTACACAAGAGAGTTAGAGTGGCACTAAACCAGGTAGGAGGGAAGAGGAGGACGAGAGGGAAGGTCACAAGGAGTCCCCAACCAAGGAAACCCCCATGCCACACAATTTCCGTCTCAATAGGCAACCCAACTTTCACCCTTGTCATTTTCCCAACCTCCCAAATCCACCTCACCCAACTTGGCCACACTTGCCAACCTGGTTTGGTTTCTCCCAACCACTTGGCAGCATCTACAGTGATGGGTACGAATTCCCCAACCCCCACAAGTCTGTACCCCATGTTGAGTCAACCCCACAATTTCCCATAGTCACCACAATCAAACACGCAATGCATACGAACTCCCAACGTTCGTAACTTTCTTGTTCGTGCTCCGATTGAAGCGATACTTGGTTCACAGAAAGCTCTTGAGCAGAGGAGTAACTTCAGATATCTGCTCAATCCAAATAACATTCACACACACTCAGAGAATCCAAACCACACCAAACACAAATTCTTGCATACGCTCACACCACGCATGCAACGCACGAACACATGATGGGAGGCAGACAGACGTGAATGCGTATGGTAGCATCACTCAACAGAAAGTGGGAGAACGGGGCGGGGTGATGGAAAGCGGGAGAATGGGGCGGGGTGATGGAAAGCTGGAGAATGGGGCGGGGTGATGGAAAGCAGGAGAATGGGGCGGAGTGATGAAAAGTGGGAGAATGGGGCGGGGTGATGGAAAGCGGGAGAATGGGGCGGGGTGAAGGAAAGCGGGAGAATGGGGCGGGGTGATGGAAAGCGGGAGAATGGGGCGGGGTGATGCAAGGAGGGAGATTGGGCCGGGGTGATGGAAAGCGGGAGAAGGGGGCGAGGTGATGGAGAGGGGGAGAATAGGGCGGGGCTATGAAATGCGGGAGACTGGGGCGGGGTGAGGGAAAGCGGGAGAATGGGGCGGGGTGATGGAAAGCGGGAGAATGGGGCGGGCTGATGGAAAGCGGGAGAATGGGGCAGGGTTATGGAAGAAGGGAGAATGGGGCGAGGTGATGGAAGGAGGGAGAATGGGGCGGGGTGATGGAAAGCAGGAGAATGGGGCGGGGTGATGGAAAGCGTGAGAATAGGGCGGTGTGATGGAAAGCGGGAGAATGGGGCGGGGTGATGGAAGGAGGGAGAATGGGGAGGGGTGATGGAAAGCGGGAGAATGGGACGGGGTGATGGAAAGCGGGAGAATGGGGCGGGGTGATGGAAAGCGGGAGAATGGGGCGGGGTGATGGAAAGCGGGAGAATGGGGCGGGGTGACGCAAAGCGGGAAAATGGGGCGGGGTGATGGAATGCGGAAGAATGGGGCGGGGTGATGGAAAGCGGGAGAATGAGGCAGGGTGATGGAAAGCGGGAGAATGGAGCGGTTGATGGAAAGCGGGAGAATGGGGCGGGGTGATGGAAGGAGGGAGAATGGTGCGGGGTGATTGAAAGCACGAGAATGGGGCGGGGTGATGGAAAGCGTGAGAATAGGGCGGTGTGATGGAAAGCGGGAGAATGGGGCGGGGTGATGGAAGGAGGGAGAACGGGGAGGGGTGATGGAAAGCGGGAGAATGGGACGGGGTGATGGAAAGCGGGAGAATGGGGCGGGGTGATGGAAAGCGGGAGAATGGGGCGGGGTGATGGAAAGCGGGAGAATGGGGCGGGGTGATGGAAAGCGGGAGAATGGAGCGGGTGATGGAAAGCGGGAGAATGGGGCGGGGTGATGGAAAGCGGGAGAATGGGGCGGGGTGATGGAAAGCGGGAGAATGGGGCGGGGTGATGAAAAGCAGGGAGAATCGGGCGGGGTGATGGAAAGCGGGAGAATGGGGCGGGGTGATGGAAAGAGGGAGAATGGGACGGGGTGATGGAAAGCTGGAGAATGGGGCGTGGTGATGGAAAGCGGGAGAATGGGACGGGGTGATCGAAAGCGGGAGAATGGGGCGGGGTGATGGAAAGCGGGAGAATGGGGCGGGGTAATGGAAGGAGGGAGAATGGGGCGGGGTCATGGAAGGAGGGAGAATGGGGCGGGGTGATGGAAAGCAGGAGAATGGGGAGGAGTGATGGAAAGCGGGAGAATGGGGCGGGGTGATGGAAAGCGGGAGAATGAGGCGGGGTTATGGAAAGCGGGAGAATGGGGCGGGGTGATGAAAAGTGGGGGAATGGGGCGGGGTGATGGATAGCGGGAGAATGGGGCGGGGTGACGCAAAGCGGGAAAATGGGGCGGAGTGATGGAAAGCGGGAGAACGGGGCTGGGTGATGGAATGCGGCAGAATGGGGCGGGTTGATGGAAAGCAGGAGAATGGGGCGGGGTGATGGAAGGAGGGAGAATGGGGTGGGGTGATGGTAGGAGGGAGATTGGGCCGAGGTGATGAAAAGCGGGAGAAGGGGGCGAGGTGATGGAAAGCGGGAGAATAGGGCGGGGCTATGAAATGCGGGAGACTGGGGCGGGGTGAGGGAAAGCGGGAGAATGGGGCGGGGTGATGGAAAGCGGGAGAATGGGGCGGGGTGATGGAAAGCGGAAGAATGGGGCGGGGTTATTGTTGGTGCAACCCTATGGTTTGCACTCGGCTTGTTGTCCGTGTGCGTGCATGTGTGTGTGTCTATGGAATGGTATGAGGGCATGGGATAATATATATTTAATGCTTATAATTGTGTGTGAATGTTGAGTCATGATGTCGAGTGTATGTGTCGAGTCAATAGCGAGTTATCGCTAGACGCGTGTTACGCGGTCGTTTGTGTCTCGCGCGCGGTTTCTATTTTGTCGTACGCGGTTTCTCTTTTGTCCTGTGTCGAACGTTCGGTGTGTCGCAGGTGTGTGCAGCAGACCCATCAAGAACTCAAGGATGAGTTTGTGATGAAGAGCCGAGCCTTGGTGTCAATCCATAAGTGACTTCAAAGCTCGCCAAAAGGGTACACCTCAAGATATTGAAGATAGTTACATTACTTTGTGTAGTGTAACATTTCACTTGGTGTAGGCCCTAGTGAAGGGTAGTTTCGAGACCCTTCGTGGTTGGGGACAGTGTGGCACTGTTCCACATCACTGTACCTCGGCTCTTGGGGTTTGTAGGAGCTGGGAGTCATTCCCAACTCGTAACTCTTCCTTACTCTTCCTATCTTGTGTTCTAAGACCATAGTGGCTGCCATAGTGCCGTTCGTTCAAACCAACCCTGTGTCGTCAATACTTGGTCAAATCGTGCGATCTAAATTGCCTATTGTAGGCGACAATAAGGCGCTCCAGATCCAAGTTGAATCAAGTCATTTAAAGCTTTGACCAAAACGCTATGAACGTTTGAAGCCGCTGTGCAGAAATCCGACTGTGCACTCTATCTTTCGTTTTAGGCACATTGGAGCCTACTGTGACTATAACAAGTGGTATCAGAGCCCCTCGGAGCAGTTTCGACAATGGCTGGACCTGAGGAAAGGGGTGGCAGAGGTGCTGGTGGCAGAGGAGAAGCCCAAGCTCAAGGCCAACCCCGTGACTCAGCCATGGCGCCCGTGCAACCAAGTGTTGGCCCATCTAGGGATGAGCCTAGAGTGTTTGGCCTTGACAAGTTCAATGGTGACAACTTTGCTGAGTGGTCCTTCAGAATGGAGAACATATTTGACCACTATGACCTGCTGGAGGTGATGGAAGGAACGGAGAAGCGTCCCGAGAACGACCCGGAGAAGAGCCCGTGGGTGCGGAAGAGCGCACAAGGCTACCTCCTACTTGGGCAAGCGTTGGGGAGCAGCCAAATCCGTCACATCAAGCCTTTCCAGCGTGAACCAGAGAAGGGACCAAAAGCATGGGCTGCTCTCAAGGGTGTACACGCTCCTGCAACAGCGGCGGTAGCTGTGGTGTTGGAACGGCAAATGGCGACGTTACGAATTGAAGAGGATGAAGCGGTTGAAGAAGGGGTGCAGAAATTCTTCGACTTGTTGACGCGGCTTGAGGGAGCTGATTTGAACTATAGTGAGCTCCAAAAGAAGACCAAGTTGCTGGCCCTACTCCCGGAGTCATGGTCCTCGCTCATCATCAACCTTAATCGTGACTTGCCCCGCCTCTCGCTTGAAGACGTGAAGCGAGCTATCCTTCAAGAGGATTTCCGCCGCCGTGAGTTGGCGAGTGCGGATGGCGCTGGGGCAGCGAGCATCGGCCGTGGATATGGTCGAGGAAGGGGCAGAGGACGAGGGGGAGGAAGGTTTGGTGGCAGCAACTTCGGCGGAGGCCGTGGGAGTGGCGGTTACGGCAGCGACGAGAAGAACTACGGACGTGGTCGCGGCCGATTCGACGGCGAGTGTCACTATTGCCACAAGAGCGGACACATGTGGCGCGACTGCTACAAACTCCCTGATGGTTGGACCCCTGCTCAAGGCCAAGAGGATAGAGGAGCAGGAGGAGGGAGAGGAAGAGGCCGTGGAGGCCGTGGCGGTCGCGGTGGCGGAGCTGCAAACATGAAGAGCGGAGACAACGACAAGGACCCGAGCGACGATTGATACCCGGGTCTATTCTACTTCGTGTCGACGCAAGTACCGGCTGGTCCAGAGAAGGATGAAGGCTTTGAGGAGCCAGCAGCTGTGGGGAAGGTGACCCTACACCCCCTGGACTATTGGGTGATCGATAGTGGCGCTACCTATAGCATGACACCTCGCCCGGACTTGCTCACCGAACTCGAGCCGTCACCGGTGAAGCATGTCACATCGGCTTTGGGGCAGCGAGCAGAGGTGAAAGGCATGGGGAAGGCCATGTTCAAGGGTGCTGATGGGAAGATGGTGGGCCTCAAGAACGTGCTTTGGGTGCCCAGCCTTGCTGCAAACCTGATTTCCGTGCGGCGGTTGGCAAAGGCCGGCATGGACACTAACTCGAAGGGAGCCAAGACCTACACCGCAAGGCTTGGCGATCGGATTCTTTGGGACCTTCATGAGGACAGAGATGTCTACAACGAGATGTGGCAGATCCCTGTGGTCCCAATGCCTAAGGAGAGGCAAGTGGCAGCAAGCGTCAGCACTAAAGGTGGAGCGGTTGGTAGCGGCGATTGCGCGGACGGTCGCGCTAAGGAGAAGGAGTCCAAGAAGTGCAATCTTGGAGGGACCAGCAAGTTCAGTGAACCTAAGGAGAGTGGTGCAGCAACCAAGGAGCAGCAAAAGGGTGAGGAGAACCCCGAGGCAACAGTGGAGGAGGACTACGGAGAGAGTATGTGGGGCGCTATTGCGAGCGCGGCATTCTCCAATCCAACTTCGGCTACGGGGGAGTGTGATTGGCTCACCTTGCATCGGCGCATGGAGCATGTGGCCCTGCCCATCTTGCAGCAGCTAGTGAAGAATGAGATGGTTGCTGGCATACGTGTGAAGGGGGAGCCCGATGAGGTGCTTGGCTGCCCGACGTGCATGCAAGCCAAGTTCACCCGTTACCCATTCTCTAGTTCGGAGGCAACGGCTAAGGCACCACTTGATGAGGTGGTGATGGACGTGGTGGGCCCCCTGAAGCTTGGAGCTGCTGGAGCTGAGTACTTCCTCACTATTGTTGACGTCTACACCCGTATGACTTGGGTGTACGTGCTGGCCAAGAAGAGCGACGTGGCTGAAACGTTGAAGGCGGATTGGTTCCCGATGGTGGAGCGGCAACAAGACCGTCTAGTCAAGTCAATCCGCACCGATCGAGGGGGAGAGTTCCTGAGCAAGGAGTTTGGGTTGTGGCTGAAGAAGAATGGTATTCGACACTCCCTCACCATGCCATACTCCCCTGCAATGAACGGCATCGCTGAGCGAGCGAACCGCACAATCACGGAGGCGGCACGCGGGTTGCTCATTGAAGCCGGGCTACCCGACTATTTCTGGCCTGATGCGGTGCGGAGCGCATGTGTGGCCAAGAACAGAGCCTTGACTCATGTGGGAGCAGACAAATGGGTGCCCTATGTGGAGTGGCTAGGAAGGAAGCCAAAGGTGGATATGCTTCGGGTGTTCGGGTGCATGTGCATGGCGCTTGTGCCTAAGCATCTTCGGCACAACAAGCTTGGTGCCAAGGCGGTGTGGGCCGTGCACTTGGGCATGGCTCAAAACAGCAAGGGATGGCTTCTTTGGGACCCATTCACCAAGAAGTTCTTGGTGAGCAGGGACTGCAAGTTCATGGAGAACTTCATGTACAAGGATTGGAAGGCGGAGAATGAGGCGAAGATAGGCGTGCGGTTTGGGGAGGTGAAGAGTTCCGGTTTGGAGCATGTGGAGCTGCCTTTGGAGCTGAGCAGCGGCAGCACAACCACGAGGCAATCCTCCCTTGAGAAAGGGGGAGAGGAGGCCACTGATGCAGAGGAAGAAGAGGAGGAGGTGCAGCAAGTGAGTGAGCGTGCACCGTCACTCCCTTCCCGTACCACGAGTGCTCCACGGAATCGAGCCACACCGCAGCAACGCCAAGGCCTTCAAGTCGCTGCAGCTGAGGAGGAAGGAAGGGGGAAGAGGAGAGTTCAACCCCCTAATAGGCTGACCTATGATGCACTTGGAAAGCAAGGCACGACAGCCCTGGCCGGAGCGGCAATGATGGTCGGAGACGATGAGGAGAGTGACTACGAGGAGTGTGCCTTCGCGTTCTTCTCTCCGGTGGAGATGCCGGGAGAACCAGCAACTCTCAAGGAGGCTTTGGAGAGTAGTGATGCTGAGGAGTGGAAGAAGGCTTTGGAGAGTGAGCTGAAGAGCATCGAGGAGAATGACACGTTTGAATTGGTGGAGCTACCGGAGGGGCGTACGGCGATAACGTCCAAGTGGCTCTTCAAAATCAAGTCGGATGCCGACGGCAAGATCGAGCGTTACAAGTCTAGGCTTGTAGCCAAGGGGTACCAGCAGAAGGAGAAGGTGGACTTCAAGGAGCTGTTTGCCCCTGTGGTGAAGCCGACGACGCTGCGAACCCTATTCGCGGGAGCCGCCATCAAAGGATGGGTGGTGAAGCAAATGGACATTGTGACGGCATTCCTTAACGGCATCCTTGAGGAGGAGATTTTTATGGCACAGCCAGAGGGGTTTGATGATGGTAGTGGCAGAGTGTGGAAGCTGAAAAAGGCCCTCTATGGGCTGAAGCAGGCCCCTAGGCAATGGTACATGAAGCTGCGCGAAGTGTTGGAGGAGATCGGCTTCACTCCCTCAACGGCCGATCACTCCTTGTTCATGCTTGGCGAGGGGGAGCAGAGGAGCTTCATGGTGGTTTATGTGGATGACATTCTCATATTCTCACCCTCCTCTGACCTTGTGAAGGAGGTGATGCTGAAGCTGCATGACAAGTTCAAGTGCAAGTCCCTTGGTGACGTGAACTTCTACCTTGGGCTCCACATCGAACGAGACGTGGAGAAGCGGAGCATGCGAGTGCACCAACGGAAGTACCTGGAGGCGTTGGCTGCCAACTTCGGCCAGAGTGAAGGTCATGTGGCTACTCCCTTTCCCTCTGGGTTCAAGTGTGTGAAGGGGCCAGAGGAGGAGAGCGTTGGAGAAGAGGAGAGGCGCCGATTTCACTCGTTGGTGGGCAGCCTCATGTATGCGGCGGTAAACACCCGACCGGACGTCGCGTTTGCTACCGGGCAGCTGGCTAGGGTTGTGCAATGCCCTAATGAGGAGCAGGTAGCAGCTGGAATGAGGGTGTCCAAGTATCTTGGCCAAACAGCGACCGTTGGGCTGCAATACTCGGCGGCGGCACAAAGGCGCCAAAAGGGCGCGGATGGTGTTGAACCCGGGCGTTTGTTCCTCACCGCCTACTCGGATGCTTCATATGCATCAGAACCAGAGGACATGACAAGTGTGGGAGGCTTCATATGCTGTATTGGTGGAGGCCCAACTGCTTGGGAGAGCAAGAAGCAGGTTGACCAAGCTTTGAGCTCGGTGGAGTCCGAATACATGGCACTCTTCCGTGCCGTACGGGAGATTGTGTGGCAGCGGCGTTTGTTGGCTGAATTGGGGGAGGAGCAACAAGGACCTACCCCACTGTATTGTGACAGCCAGGG